GCAGCACTGACCCAGAGCAGCCTACACTGGCTTTGTCCTGCAACCTCAGCAGCTCTCACAGAATGATACCCCCTTCCCACCTCTTGCCCTGGCACTTGGGAACTGAGATCAACAGTGAACACTGGAGGCAGAGCAGATGGAGTCAAGCTCCAGATAGCCATGGTGCAGCCCTGCTCCCTCCTCCCTCCTTGGGTTTCTCCATCCCTGGCAGAGGTGACCTTGAGGAAGAAAAGCCTCAGGTCCCCATCCCCATGGCCACCACAGCTCGCTGCAGAGACGCCGACGTCCCCCAGCTCACCACAGACGCTCTCTTCCACATGACAGCAGCTCAGCAACCTCAAGGCAGAATTAAATCTCTCTCCCTTCTGCCTGTAGCAGGCAAAGCACGTGGTGTTTCGGAGACCTTGGGCTGAGTCCTCATATTTAATGGGGAGAGCAGACTTCAATGCAGCTTGTTCCTTGTTCATTCAGTGACTAACTGTTGATCTCTCTAAGAATAAGCCAGATGGTTCCCGTGATAAGTGATCAGCTCTCCTGGAGTTTTTGAAACAGAAAAAGACAGATGCCTGCGTGCCTCTTGCCAGGACCCATCTTAAGCTCAGGCGATGAGTGCAAATGCTTAGGGAGGTTGTATTCAGGAGATTCTCTCCATTCAGGCTTATCAACTTATCTTCCCTATCAGCCCTTCTTCCAGGAGGGGAGGCATCTTGCCTTCTGACAGCTTCCCCCAGCTTAAGGGCACTACAAATCATAAGACTAGTCTTTATAATTGGATCAGACTTTGATATTGTTTTCCTTTTCTGTGCATTCATATTATCATCTCATTTTGCAGACAGCACATCTTATTGGTGCTTACTACTTCAGCTTGTATTTGCACACGTTGTGATTGAGAACACCGATAGGAGCGACAAATCATTTTAGCAAAGGAGAAAGCTTGCTTTGGGAAGCTGTTCTGCTGGGGTGGGGAAAAAACCCCACCAGGCTAAAGAGCTTTGTTTCTCTGCCATTGATGTGCACACCACCAGTCGAGCACCACTTCCTGCCCTCAGTGCAGAGATCAAGGTCTCCACAAGAATGGGAAAAAAGGTATCAGCGCTTGTCTGCTGATTTTTTTTTTTAATTCGTTTTTACCTTAATTTCTCCTTCTGATTGTATAAGAAGCCTGATTCTACTACTGAGCTGGCATTAAAAACAGAGAGCCAGTAAATCGCAATGTCCATGCAGGGTTAGAAGAACAGGGCAGAAGAGGAGATGGGAGCAAGGTGCAAAATTAGCAACAGAAGTGGAGTTTGGTTTTCCTCCCAAAACCAGCTCCAAGGCAGTAGCTTGGCCCACCAGCCAAGGACTGGTTGACCTGCCCTGGGAGAAGCAAACACATGCATTCCAAAACTCACAGCCTAGCCTGCTGCTACGTCTTGTAGGAAAAACTCCACTTGCTCTCATAAAGTTAGGCCAGCATAAAAATGAGAAACATGTAGACATGCACTCAACAGAAAACACTTCTTTTACTTGCATGCCTGTGTTGTGGCTCTTAGAGGATGTACAGTCCCTTTTAGGATATTTATGCAGTATCTTCAGAGCAAAAGTTAGAGCTGGACCTCCAAGACAGGGAATTAGATCTGTAGTGCTGGCTCAGCCTGCAATTGCACAGGATTAAACAGTCAGAAAGAAACCATTAAGCTGAAAAAGACTGAAATATATGGAACAATACATATGTCAGACACTCATATCCACACGGTAAGAAAACTACATATCAGTACACAGTTCACTGTGTCTGACCAAGGCACTGCTTCACAGACGAGACTGCAACTTCATCTGAGGGCTCTATGGAGCAGATGTCACTTTAAAGCCAGAAACAGTGCACAGAAGGAACAGAGAGAGCACTAGATTTAAAGCAAGCAAGTACTCTGCCTTCACTTTCCTGGGAAATTGTGAGTGCATGTTCACTCAGTGTGGCTTTCATTGTGTTATTAATTATAAAGAGAGGCCTTATGCAAAAGAAATTTGAAATTGCAAATTTCCTTTTCTATATTCTGCAAAAGCAATTTCCATTTTGCTATGTTACCCTGCGTCGTGTTAATGTTAGGATTTTATAAATGAATACTGAGACTTAGTAAGAGTATTCAAATTGCATTCATCACTGATACTTTTTTTATTGCATGATTTCCCAAGGAATCAAGGCTTTTGTAATTATAAACTCTAATCTTAAACACCATTCTCCCATCCCTCAGTAACCTTTGATCGTTTCACTTAATTTCAATTAAATTTGACAGAATCAGAGCTAACCGACCAACTATAAGTTTCCTAAAAGACAACATCTGAGTAGAGATGCCACACAGCTGTTTGTCCCATTATTCAAGATTCAGAGGAGGAATTCGATGACCAAGTCAAAAAACATTCACAAAACCAACCTCTGTGCACTATATTTTGTACCTCCGTGTGGGAAAACGCCAAATCAGACACAAGCAGGTATTCTTAGATGACACAGTGTGAGCAGCTTCTCTAGCAGTAACACTGAACACACAGCTGCCCAAAAAGTTATCCTTAGTTTATTCGTTTAGGATAGTAATAAAAATTGCTCCAAATTTAAACCCACATCCTCTTCATCTTAAATACAGCGAATTATGCCTAATTTTTAATGACCTTCCAGTTCCTAATTTGTGTGGCACCAGCCGCGATTTTGGGGAAGGTGGCTAAGCCTCACTGCGACCTTACTTGGTGCAGGGATCTCTTTGGCCTCAGGTCAGAATTTCCTTTGTTACAACCCGGGCTTAAGGTCTGAAATCCCGAACCTGGCTCCCAGTGACAGCCCGTTTTTGCACTTGAAAGGCAGCATAAGCTGCCATATCACCTAATCAGTCAAAGAGCCTTCTGCATTTGGAAATGCAAAAAAAGCTGAACAGGCCTTAAAGTACATGTCAATTAGGACAACAGCAAGCAGATGATTTTTTACATGCTTTTCCATTGATCTGCCCTTTCAAGAACATTTTATACTCAAAAGTATAGTACTCTTATTAAAACACTTAGGCTTGTCTCTTTTTCTAGATCCTAGAAAAGGAATTTAGGACTTCAAGACAGTAAAAAAAAAAGTGTATCCTGGGGGAAAATTTTTGCACTCTAAAATAACTATTTGCACCCAAGTATTCAAAAACCAAAAACATTTTCAGGGTTGGACAGCTACTGAAGACTTAAAAAAATATATTCAGAAATATTTAAAAGAGAAAGAAATTTCCATTAAAAAAAACCCCAAAGCCTCTAACAGTTTTCAGGACAAATACCAGAGTTTGATGAGCATCAGCAAGCTTTAAAGGGCATCTTCCCTGCCCCTAACAAGTGCAGAGAGGATGCCCAAGGTTGTCCCTGCCTGACAGATTCCATCGGGAAAGCAAAGTTAGCAGGAATCTCGGGGCTGGTGGCAGCAAGGAAGGAATCCATCCTGTTATCAAGTACTTACAGAGAGAGACTATACTCAGTCAGGCAGTCAAAAACACGCCTACTCAGATAAGGGTATCCCTGCAAAGAAATCTCTTGACACTGCTTTGACATATTTACGTTCTTCTGCGATTATTCAGTTGCAATAACTTAGAACTCTTCGTCTGACACTCAAACACGAGCCAGTCCTCAGTCCCCAGCCCTACACGGGGAAGGGAAACAAAACGATGCTGGTTAGGGGCTGGTTAGGGTGAGAGCCGCAGCAAGCTGAGATTTAAAGCCCGTACAGCACTGAGTATACAATTAAAATATTAATCTAATGTGACCTAATCAAAGATACCACATCTAGATAGAACATCCCTGAAGTTACAGTGAGATTATGTTACTCTTAAATCTTGTTAGCCTGGACTTGTTGGAAGATCTGCTATCTAGTAGCAAGATATAATCGGTAAATTATTTCTTTTAATTAATTCATTGAAGTAAACAGAAAATACCCTGGGTCCTATCTGTCTACATCTCTTTGGAAGAAAGGCAAAGAGTTCAACGGCAGTTTTAAATTGGGGAAAGGATTCCTGCGTGGCAGCAGAGGAGCAGAGATTGCGGTAGCATCCCTTGGAAATGCACACTACCTTCTTCAAAGCATATAAAAAACACCGCCTGAAGCCCACCCAGAAGACTGTGGCTTGGAAAACCTCTATCACAAGCCGAAGATGAAGTGCCTCCCACGTCCCTAGGTAATCTGCCCCGCTTCCGAGGGGCAGTCTCACGGTAGTGGCACAGCCTCATCCAGACCCTCGGGATCCCGTCGCCGTGCCTACAGCGGGGGTCACCCCCGCCGTCTCTACAGCAGGGATGCGATGCAGAGACGCTGGTCCCGTCCCCACGTCCTAGAACGAGGGTCCAGCCGCTGCCACCCCCACACAGGGAGCTCCAGCCCACGGGATACTGCTCCGAGGGTCCTCACTCCCAGCCCCTCTACCAGGGGTCCATATCCCCCTCGGCGTCGCCGCCGCTCGCTCCGCCCGGGGCCGGGGCGGGGAGGGGAGTCCCCCGCTGCGAGCCCCGGCTCCACCTGGACGGTCGGGAGGGTCCGCGTGGTTCCGTCCGTGGAGCGGGACGGGGAGCGGCGATGGCACCGGGCAGGGGCTGGCGGCGTCACCAGAGGGGCAGCGGGGCGCCCGGCGGAGCTCACGCTCGGGGCAGGGGCTGCGTGGAGAACTGGTGGGGCTGAGCCGCAGGAGGCGCGGCCGGGCCGGGCGGGCGATGGGGCGGGCGCGGCCCCGCGCGCAACTTTCCGCCGCGCCGAGGGACCCCGGCGGCCGCGCCGGCGGTGGTATCGTATGCAAATACGCAGGCTGACGTCAGAGATCATGTGGGGTTTGGCGTAGATCCCCGCCGATCGAGGGCTCTTTTTTTTTTTTTTTCCCTTTTTTTTTTTTTCCCCCCCCCCCTTTTTTTTTTTTTTTTTCGCGGCGGGGCCGGGCCGGTGCGTGCGCGTGTGGAGGGGCGCGCGTGTTCCCCGCGGGCCGGCGCGGCGGGGGCGGGGGGCGCGGGGTCCCGCGGCCGCGGGCGGCGCACGGAGCGGAGCGGCGCGGAGCGGAGCCCCGGTGCCGCTCCGCCCGGGACAGTCGGTGCCGCCGCCCTGGGCGCAGGTAGGAAACTTCCCAGGCGGGGCCCCCTCCCCCGGTGCGCGGCGCTCCCCAGCCGCCCCCTCCCTGCGCACGGACGCTCGCCGGCGCTCCCGCCCCGACCGCTCGCACCCAACTTTTCCTCCTGCGAGAAACTGTCCGGTTCCCTGGACTTCGGCGGGGGCCGGGAGGTGGGGGGGGGAGGGCGAGGGACACCGCCGGGGGTGGGAGCCGGGAGGGTTGTTCGGGGTGGGCTCTTAATTATTTTAGCTACATTTTTCATTTTTGGCCATGCAGCTTCTCTCCCCTCGCCCTTTTCCCGCTCCCCGCCGCCTCCCGATCGCAAGTTTGGGTGAAGGGGGAAAAGCAGGAGCGGGGGGGGAAACATGTCTACGTTTGTCTATGTCGACATCAGCAACACAAAATATGGCGTCCGCTTTCGACAGGGCGTTACGTAGAGGCGAGCAGGGGATTTTGTCAGCGCGGTCCCTGACGAGGAGCCGCGGGCTCCCGGGCCGGGGGGGCAGAGCCGCCCCGGGGCGCGGGAGGGGCCCGGCGCCGCCGCCGCGCGTGGCTCCGCGCCCGCGGCCGCACTTGGCAGCGCTTTCTTCTGCTTTAATTTTTGATTTTTTTTTTTTCTTTCTCCTGCCCTCCCTCCCCTCTTTGGCAGCCCCCCTCCCACCCGTGACGCCGCGGCCGTGGCGCGGGGCTCGCTGCCGGTAACTGCGGGGAGCGGCGAGGCGGAGCGGCGGCACCGAGCCGGGACCGCGGCGGGGCAGAGTCGGGCGCCCCGCTCCATCCCTCCTCCACCCTCGGTGAAAGGCTCTGCCTTCCCGTGGCATTTTATTTTCCCCGGAATGGGAAGATTTGGGAAAATTCGGTCTTTGGCACGTTGCATCCACTTTTTTTTTTTTTTTTTTAATGAGGGGTGACTTGTTTTAGCCGGTTTTCAAAGACATCACAGAACCGTCTTCTTTTTTTTTTTTTTTTTTCCCTTCTCTCTGGGATGAAGGCGACAGGGAAGGAAACTGATTCCTCCCCCCTCCCTCCTTTGCTAGGAATATAACTTGGAAATGATTCAGGGATGTACCTGTCTGACTTTGTGGTATCCGTATACCCAGCTCTTTCCTGAGCACTTTTGTTCGTTCAGAGCCTGGGAATCCCTCCTGAGGGAGACGGCCGGGGAGGCGGAGCATGGCTCTGATTTCCTCGCCCCTTGGCTGCCCAGGCACCTCTCCGATGGCGGCTCCCATCCTTTCTTGGGGCAGGTGCTCCGTGGAAAACCCTGTGAACCTGCGAGGGTCCTGCCGTGCAGGGGAACAGAGCAAAAGTTCTGGATTGGAAGGTGGACAGCAAAAGGGGAGAAAACATCCAAAGAAGTAGGAATGGGAGGGAAGAGGAGGACTCTCGGCTGGGTGGGAAGGGGAGCTGGTGGTCAGGATTGCTGGGCATCAGCAGCTCGTGCCCGCCGGGTCCCGCAGCAGCAGCGCAGAATGTGCATTGCCTTGAGGAGCTGCTCGTGTGACAGCACAGGGCATCTCCTGCAGCACTAGCGGGGCCACAGCACAAGGCTGCCAGTGAGGTGCCTTTTACTTTTAATCTACAGATTAAACTTTGTGCGGGGCTTTTCTCTCCTATCTGGGGCTGGGTCGCGGAGGCACAGATGTAACTAGAGGAGATCTGATGTCTCTAGCAGAAACCTCATGCATGCAGCCTCACTGGGAAATGGCATATGAATTAAGAGTGGTGTGTGCTGCCGTGGTTTTATTAGACCAGTAGATGAGCAGTATTATTAAGAGGTATCTGTGACCAGAGTGCTTTGCCAGTGTGATATATTTCTGTAGTGGTGTGTTGTATGAACCCTGCAGGTCTTTGAAACAGAATTGCAAGTTGATTTCTAGATCAGTGAAAGCAAGGGACTGGCCAGCAATTGGGAAGAATAAAAATGCTAAGGATTGGCTGGTCCTTATTTTACTTTGCCCCCATATGCATGTTTATCCCCTCAGGCTTCTGCAGGAAGCAATGGCCATGAACTCTCCCATGTCTGTCCTCTCTTCTTGTAAACTCAGTGCCAGAAAGCATGGATAGGTGTTTAGATCTCAGTCATCAGCCCAAAGACCTTGTGATTACTCACCTTTTTAAAATGACATTTTTCCTGCCTGTCCACCCCAAGAGTTCAGCTGTCAGAGTTTTGTCACACAGGACGTTTCCTGCTGTCAGTGTTTGAAAGTAGCACACTCCTTCCAATTGCTTTCTCTCAAAATTCCACTTATTTTTTTCCTTTTTACTCTAGTTATAATCAGCAATTTCTAGTCAGTATCTGTGAAATGAATAATCTGTCATATGAAGCAGCCTGAGTCTGTAGTGTCATATTTGTGTTTTTTCTTGTGGGGAGGCGAAAGTTTTATTGTGTTTTTATTAAAAGTCAAAAAAAGCCAACATTAAATATAGTAAAGTTACTGGCATCTTTTTGCATTTTCAAACCAGTTTAAAACTGCTCCAGGCTGGAATGAGAACACAGCAGGTTTTGCTCATCCTCGTAAAAGACAAAGATTTTAATGCCAGACATGACATCACTGTATTTGCATGTGTGACATCTTCAGGTTTTATTTCTTTTTGTTTTGCCCTAACTTGGATGATCCTCAGAAATACTATTTGGAGTCTCTTCTAGTTGGGATATTTTGATCCATGTCTAAATTAATTTTCTTTGTGTCCACTTAAGGAATGGAAATATCCACTGAAAATAAATAGAGTTATTTTAATTAGAATTTGTTCAGAAACATGCAGTGTCACAGCTGAATTCCCTGAGATTTCAGCATGACTTTCAGGTAAAACTGCATTCACATTTTGCATGGAGTGTAATTGTAGCTTGACTTTCTTTCAAGTGTGATGGTAATTCAGCAAGTGTGTTCTTTCCCTAAAAGTTACTGCACATCTCCATGATGGTATTTGTTCATACTGAAAGTATGTAATAAACAAATGTTGGCACTAAAATAATCTATAAAGGCTTTAACTTAAAGCCATTAAGATAATTGTTTTTCTTCTGTCAAGGTGTGTTTACATGTGTCACATCAGCTGGAACTAATATTGTGGTTAGTTTATTTTATCAACCTTTCAAAAATAGATCTGAAGTTTACAGGATGTAATGATACAGTTCAGTCCCAGGGTAGCAGTAAGTTGTTTTTTTTCTGAAAAGCTGGAAGAGCTGTTGATTTGCAGAATAATTCAAATACTTTTCATATGGGGTAATATTTGAGAGTTTGGTTTGTGAAGATGTAGCAAAATGGAAATAAAATAAGTTGGGTGCTTGGAAGATGAAGGGAAGAGTGTTCGTTTCCAGCCTTGCCTTCCAGAGACAGTTCAGAAAACACCAAGCCAGCCCTTTCCCCAAAACCACCATGCCTTTGCAAGCCAGAAGGATTGGTTGGTTGGTTATTTTGTTTTTTTAAAAGTTAGCTCTTGGGGTTGTAAAACCGGTGTGAGTTTGAAAATAAGACAATGCATTTGGCAAGCTTTTTTTCAGAACCGTGGGACCCCAAACCACTTTCTAAAGTGAAAACTGAATTTTCCATAAGCTGAGTTTATGTAGAATGACCAGTATTGTGAATCTGCTGGTGAAACTGAAGGAGAGGTGTGAAACGATTTTGTGTATTTAGCACTGCAGAAGGCTCAGATGGCTTGGTTAGTGAGCAGAGATAGAACGACACAGGCAAGGAGAGAAGGTTTAGGTGTTGGCAGCTAGGAGGGGACTTTAAAAAAGTCATTCTGGGAGATTCTTTTAGCTGAGGAGGTGGATTGTGGTGCAACATCTCCGTGAATTCATGGATGAGACTGCATGTGCCTGGCCTGCAGCGGGCAGTGCCCCGAGTGGGGTGTCTCTAGGGGAACTCCTGTCGGTGTTTGATGGAGGGCAGCGTTTGCCATCCGGAGGGGTGACGGGGGAGGAAGGGTTGGGAGGCAAATGGGGAAGAGGTGATCTGGAACACCTGCATGGTTAGAAATTGCACATCGGGAGTGGAGGGGGTCAGCTTGCAGTGAGTTTTGACGACCTTTTGCACATTGGCTAGGGGGCACAGGCACACACTGGGTGCTGGAAGCAGGGCAAGGGAAGGGAATTCAGCTTTGCTCTGAGAACAAGCCTCCCCAACAACATCCGCGGTTTATATCTTCTCTAGGTTGTTGTCCAGTGGAGACCTGATTTAGCAAACTGCAGCCTGCTCACCACTTGCTCGCCTCTCAAACTAACTATTACAGGCTTATTGGGAGGAATTTGCAGATATCCACAACTCACACCCACACAGACTACAGGTTAAATAGTGCCATGGTCCAGGCTCAGCCTTGGATTCAGTTTCTGTCTGCATGGCTCAAAAGCTAGGGTTGAAAGGGATCTTTAAATTTTTTCCTGATGTTCAATCTAAACCTACACTCTTTCAGGTTAAAACCATTGCTCCTTGTCCCATGGCTACAGACTTCAGTAAAAAGTGAGACTGTTAAATATCTCATTAGGCGGGTTATCAAGTGCTTTGGTCTGGTCAGCATCCCACAAGCACATCAAGAACTTTATCCTCAGGTGAATGTGCTGATAGTGGGTTTGTCATCCCTACCCTGTCTCAGTGTGGGACATTGGCAATAGTATCGCTTGGCTGCCCTTTCTCTCGAGGGTTTTGCCAGCACAGCTGCTTCAGTGGCACATCCTGCCCTGGGCTGATAGAACGCATGGTAAGTGGTGGTACAGACCTGATGTGAGATGTGCCCGTGCAGACATGCCTGCTGTCATGTGCTTGTGCGGGTCTGCACATCGAGCCTGTGCTCTGGAAAACCCTTGTTACTGCTGGAGTTAAGCCCCAGCTAAGTGCAGCCCCTCCTGCGGGTGCAGGCAGTGGAGGCTCTGGATCACAGCAATGGGCACATCCTGGCAAATGCAAATGGCTCTGTGCAAGTCACAGAGTTTCCTCCAGACCGGTATTGCCTGCCCATGGTGTATTTTAGTTCACTTAGTAAACTCATCCACAGCCTGAAATTGG